TTTTTTATTATTATGCTTGGATTGAAATTTAACAACCGATTACGTACATGATTTTGGTGGTGATACTAGGTGCGTTCTTTTTCCCTTGGCAACACTCATATAATGATTACGGGTTGACTTCCCGAAATCAATTTTACTGAAATACCATTTCACCGGTAATACTGAAATCCCATTTCACTGACATCCCATTTTACTAACAACATAATTCCAAAAGTCTCATATCATTTAATTGATAATAAATTTTACTGATAAATCATTTATCTGCAATTTCTATTTCACCGAATATTAAAAAGATGAATTTCTAATTTACTGACATGTCATTTATATTCGAATGGTACATTTTTCTGACATTCTATTTCTTTGAAAATATATTATTACTGTAAGTTCTTTTACCGAAGGATGTTTTACCGAATTTACAGCTATTTTATGAATTCTGGGTCACCTGATAACCCGAAAAAAGGTATAAACTAATTTGCCGACAGCCATTTCACCGACAAAGTTAGCCTGGTTTATGTTGAGTTGATCTGATTTATGCGATTTTTGTTTAATCTTGTTGGGAAATTTCTTTTGAGGAATATTTTTTTCAGGAAAACATCTTTTCGGAGAAACATCCTTTCGGGGAAATATATCAAAATATTTGTCGATGAAAAGGCTTCAGAAAAAATTTTTGTCTGGGGAACAGGAGTTCAGAGAAAGGTTTTGGTCGGTGAAAAAGTCTGTCAAATAAAATTTTTCAGAAATTCAGGTTGGTTGTGTCGAAAAAAAAAATAATCGGTAAAAAAATTTCTATCAGTAAAATATACTGTTAGAAACATGTCTTGTCGGGAAAAAGGGATATCGGAATTATAGGGTCGGGGAAATTTCGGGAAGGTAGGTTTCGGGAAAGTGTGAATTAACCATATAATTGAAAATCATCTAACTATAATTTGATTTTTATTTTAATTCCACTAATATCGATACAAGAAATTAATAATAAGTTTTTCGCTCATATTAAATTATAAAGTTGATTTAGAATCAAATTTAGGTGGGTACTGTGTGAAAAACCAGGTATTGTATTTGGGGGATATATTATATTAAAATTAGTAAATCAATATGCGTAGTTAAATTCCCGGATCTTATTCAAGAAATAGTTGGTAAGGATAGTGAGTAATACAGAATCTTAAGCAGTGGCCAATGATAACCGAACAATTGTTTTCTCCCCGTAGTCTCAGTTAATTATTTCATTTCTAATCTTAAATAGAGACCATTTTAATAATGGTAAGGATTTAATTTTATTCGCTTTAATTTTAATAGTATATGGTGATTATATCGGTCATTGCTGTGCCAATAAGGAGATAAGTAGAATCGGATATATAGCTTATATAGCTTATATAGCTTTATTTTAGAAGCTATCCGAAAATCCTAAAATCCGAAAAACCCTACCTGTCAACTTAATTTTAAAATACTTGTCATTCCTTCCCTATCTTGTTTTTACTGAATTAAATAAAATTCAGACGAAACAAATCATGATCTCCTCATGACTAAAATTAGTCGGGTACTATACCATAACTTATCTCTATATTCAATTGCCAAATCGCTAAAATTTTTATGGATCCTTTTTGAAAAAACTGCCCATGATGATCATGTTCTATAAAGTCGCTAGTCGACTTTTAGTTCGGCGATTTAAACCAATCACATAAGACTTTGGTTTTGCATCTGGCATTATATATTAACAACATTTAAGATTTCGTATTAGCAATTATTTTTCAATTAACGTCGTATAAGTTAGTTATTTTTGTACTTTATAGCAAACATGTCGAAGTCGTAGAATTGCAACAAAAAAAAAAAAAGGCGCGTTCAGAGCACAAAGCTTTATAAAGTGTACACGCATGTGCATTATTTTGGCTGAGCGTCAGACATAGGAAGACATTCATGTAATTGGCTAATTTATTTTGATCTAAACGTGCGCGTTACAGTATTTCGGACGAAAATATGATTATATATTATAGTTCGACCACTAGTACAGTAATATTACACTTTTATGTCATAAATCACTTTCTTTTATACATGTCATCTATGCTTGTCATATTACTCGATGCATATGTCATCCATACATATATTATACTATACTACGCGAGTTAAGGATTAAAAAAAAACATAAATAGTATAGTTTATGATCAATGACCGTCATGCTATAATACCAATACAACATAATAATTCTGAGATGTATCATATTGATACGGCAATTACCATAAATTCTCGAAATAGTGGGCATGGGCGTTATTTCGAAAATCGTGCCTCCTAAAAATAGTGTAGTTAGTTTCGAAATAACGCGCACCTCATGTAATATATTAGTAAATTTAGTATAACAAAGATTTTGAAATTGATTCTCTCGAAATAACGCATATGGGCGTGATCGAAATTTCGAGAATATACGGTAGTCAGAAAATGCCGTTTCGAGATCAAAAATTATCATTATATTAATATATACCTCTTATAATTACGTACAGTACGTATAAGTATATACTTTCCATGTATAGTTATACCTAATATAAAGTATAATATATAGTCTATATTTATAAAGAAAAAAAATAAATTATAATCTTAATGGGATTTTATAATATTGTAATTAATTTTAATAGGTTTATTCAGTACAGTATACGTATACACTACTGTACGTATAATTTTAAATTATATTTTTCTAAATACAGTAAATTAAAAATAAAAAAAATAAACGGTTATTAATTTTTGATAAAATCGCTCTTTTCTTTTAAAGCTCTTTTTTATTTTTCACTTAGATATATATTTATTTATATATCTTTGTTATATTAAAGGTTAAATATTTTTTTTCATGTACTGTATATAATTAAAAATTAATGATAAATTTTAGCAGTGGCTTGGCTGTTAGATGTAATTAAGCTGTGCGCACCCTTGTAATAAATTAAATAAATAAATAAATAATATATATATAATACAATTATATAATCTATATGTATATTAATGTATATAAATAATTGTTTTTGAATTGTTCAATCTTCTATTGCTATTTCTATCTAAATTATTAATAAAATTTAAATTTCAATTTTCATACCAACACCAATAAAATTTTCTGAAGGAATATACCAACTACTATAAAGTTCTTTTGAATTATGAGCTAAAATTGAATAAAGATTAACAAATAATCTTCTCCATCTAGGAGAATTAGGTTTTGGATGAAATATTTGTTTTCCTAAAATATATGTAACAGGTAATTCATCTAAATCTAATTTTTCTGATAAATGTTTATCAAGACGTTGTATTTTAAAAACTAATTTTGTAATAAATTCATCTCCATGTATAACATCTTCCATGTAACCATATCTTGCAACAACTTGATAACATCCATCATATTCACCTATTTTACTAATTATTAAACGATCAACTTCACTAACATGTGGAATAGCTACATGATGAACTGACATGAAAATAATTATTTGAGGTAAAGCAGGGAAATGATTTATAAAATGTGTAAATGAAAGTGGAATACAAGAACCGACATCACTATAGAATAAGACAATACCCGGTAATCGTCTTATATAAATACCACTATCTAACATACGAATTTTTGATTTTGATTTTTTTCCAAATTGTCGTCTTATATTTCTATGCAAAGTTGCTTCTAAAGAGTTAACAGAAGTACGCTCTGCTAACAGGGTAGAATCTGCACTATATCTTGCCTCTATACTCGAACGAGGAGTTGCATGATGTATGACTTCAAAAATATCACCGAGGTTGGTACTCTGAATAGTTTCATATTCAACTTTATGAACTGTACCCCATCTCCATAAACCCATAATAATAAATAAAAATGTTGCTACAGATAGTGTAAGCCAAGCACCAGTTAATATTTTTTGTGCATTTGAAACTAAAAATACTCCATCAATAAAGCCAAAAATTAATAAAAACATGATCGGAAAAATTATATTAAGATGCCAAACAACAAGCATTACGATTGATACAAGAATTGTCGTTATAAACATCACCATGGCAATAGCTAATCCATAAATTCTCGCCCTAAAAAAAAAAGAAGATAATACTTTAATATATAAAAAAAAAAAGAAATATTGTCTTTAAAAGAAGGGAATATATATAAAATATTACAAAGTCTGGGAATTCTGATAATAACTACAGATGATTATAACCAAAATCATCAAAGTGTAATTGACCTATAACGATAAATGATAGTAATTAATTGATCCTTCATAAAATATGTATGTATTGCGACAGATTAGAATGAAAATTTGGTCTATTTTTGATAAATTTTTAGACAGTATTGTTAATAGAAGAGTATAAGTGGGCTTTAGAGTAGTGTTATGAAAATGTAATCGATTAGCTGGTTAAATATTTTTTAAAACTCGATTATAATTGACCATTTAATTCGATTTCATGTTCGTGGTTAATTATGATAAATATAAAAAGTTCATGAATCTAACTTCTTTTCGTGATTCATATCACTCTTTAAATTTAAAAGAGTGCCAAATTTTCATTTTAATCTGCAACGTGTATTATCAAAAAAAGTATATATAATTATATACATATACTTTTTTTCAATGCAGAACATAATCAAAGAATACCTCAGGAATATAAATTTGGCCTTTCACTTTTTTTGACGTATGAACCATCTTTTTATCAAATAAATTAATAAAATAAATAAAAAAATAAAATAAAATAAAATAAAAATAAATAAATAAAAATAAATAAATAACTAAAGAATGCTCTTACTTTGATTCTTGGAAAGCAATCCAGTTGAATTGATTGATAAATTAGGGAAAAAGTTGCGGTAATCATAGCTTGAGAAGCAATAATTGAAGTCAAAGTAGCTATAATAAGTATAAACCAATAAACGCCACCATCAGGAATAGAACTCCAAAATGTGGTTTTATAGTTTGAAGGGTCCAGAATTAAACTTGCACCTTGACCTAAGTACGTCAATAACAAAGGAAAATAAACAAATAGTGGGAAAGATATTTGAATCGACCTTCGATTAAAATGTCCTAGGTCCGCAAACACTGCTTCAGATCCAACGAATACTAGTAAAACACCATCGAGATGACCAAAACCTCTTTCTTTAATGTACATAATAGCATAGTAAGGATTGATAGCTTTCAAGATTATTGGAACTTTGTTTATATTCATAATGCCAATTACGGAGAGAGAAGTAAACCAAATTGCAACTATTGGAGAAAATAAACTTGCGACTTTTTCTGTGCCAAATCGTTGACCCATGAATAGTATAACAAAAATAAAACTTTTTTTTTTTTTTTTTTAAAGAAATAACTTAATTGAGATCATTGTGAATTTATGATACATGAGTTAAATATAGCTTAATTACCAGCTTGCGAATATAGTAATCATCGGTAATTCTTTTTCTCCTATATTTTCAACCTTTTTCAAGGGAATTTCAAACCCTTCAATGGCCGAAATTACCGATATAGCAGGAGTTAACATGCCATCACTTATTAACAATGAAGAACCAAGCATGACAACTATTATTAACAAGTTTTGTATGAATTTACTACGTTCGATAAAGTTCGGAACTCCAATAATTGACTCGCTTTTGTAATTTATTATATTTATATCATCTGATCTCGGAGCTTCTGCACCTATAGAGAGTCCAGAATGTCTAAATAATAACAAAGGGTTTTACTATTTTATAGAGGCTGTATTGTCACGTGACTAAGTATAATCTTTACCTTATCAATAATGAATATAGGGCGAAAGGGCCACCTTCACCATTATCATTTGCTAGGATGACTATGAAAATGTATTTGATCAACGATATTATAGTCTATGATTTGTTAAGGTTGAATATTAGAAAACGAATTTATTTTAATAAAAATAATTTTTTATTTTGTTTTTGAATTGATTAGAGTACCTGAAGCGATCAAATCGGCAATTTGATCGGCTAGCAGTCACATAGTCAGATATTCGTATAATTTAAAAAAACTTACCAATGACCAAATTATTAAAGACACGACGCCTAAACAATTTAAGAAAAAAAAAAATTTGAAGTTTGGAACTAATCAAAAACTTTTAAATTAGTAAATTAGTAAATTAACATACCATAGACATCATCCTCGTTAGGTTGTTGATCTATGAATATTCCATTGAATACTATAAAAATTTACAAAATGAATGAACCAAATACTTGAATTATAGTTCGTCTGAAAATAGGAATAAAGTCTTACCAAACATCGGAGCTGCACCAATATCTCCAAAGACAACACCTAACGTTTTAATCAAGATTAAAAATAAATAATTTCTCGAAAGCAAAATTATGAAAGATCAATAAATATGTAATGAATGGTATACCTAAAGCTTTGAAAGCTAAAGCCAAAGTTTGATAAAATCCAAGATTAGGCTAATACAATAATTGCAGAGTTAATAAAGTTAACCTCTGATACTTATAAAAGCTCGATACTGTAAATACTGTAGCTCACCTCTTTTGAGCGTTGAGTCTCTAAGTCCGAATTTTCATCGGCCATTTTTTTTAAACGTTGTTAACGTTAATTCTGGCTATAAAGATTTTTTTAAACAAAAAACTTGGTATTAAATAATTTTTTTTTTATTATTTGTTATCTAGTGTTTCAGTGTTCCGAGCATACACGTGTCAAAAAACCTTATCTTTAATTTGAAAAGTTGCATATTAAAGATCTACGTAGATCCCTTTTACGTACGGGTTAATTTAAAAAATCAGAAATAAAGACCAATTTAGGAATTATAGTAACTTTATTCATAATCCATATAAAGAAATAGTCAAATCAATCTACTCTTCTAAAAATACTTAAAATGTAAAATCTTTTTCAATTTTAATTTTTTAGAACATTCGTATTTCGGGAATCAATTTATTTAAAGCGATTAGAATGGCAGATAATAACAATTAATTTGTAAAAGCCAAGAATATTTCTAAATATATATGACAAAAAAATTTTATTTTTTGTTAAACTAATAACGTCACGTTTTCACCCCAACTAACATGATAATTGTGTTTTCTTTGCTTTTGATCAATGACAGGAGCTTTCTCTACACATTTTTACTTTTTGGTCATCCAAATCAGAAATAATTTCATTAGTCATCAATTTGTTATACATCATATTACCATCAATTAACATATCGTCATGTTCTTCGATAACTTCTGTATCATCTTCTGTATCATCTTGTGTTATCAACTCAGGTTTATCATCATTATTTATCATTACTTCAAAATTCAAAAGACATGGATCATCACCATTAGAGATAGCAAGTGCAATTTTCAAATCCGATTCATTAAGTTCCTTTAAAACGTGATTCGTGAACATAGAATCACCTTTACTATATACATATTTTAAAACTTGGCACCTCAATTTATTTAGTCCTAGCCATTTAGAGACTCTTAATGTAACTTTCCAGTGCTGTTTATCCCACTATCAATGTATCAATGTAAATGTGTGTTAACGTTTAACCCAAATTTTTTTTTTAAAAAAAAAGAAACAAAAAAATAAGTTATATAAAACTTGCCATTTCATGTAACAAATCGTCACAAATTTGCAATAATTCTGGTACATCAAATTTATTTTTTGACGCAAGGTGTGCAAGAACATACAAATTATCCTTTTTTCTTTCTTTCATAGGATAACCGTATCTATTAATGGATTATTCCGTGTAGTGAATATCATTTATTTTTATCAACGCAATCAACGTAATGATACTTACAAATATGCGAGAAAATTTCCAAAATCTGTCCAAGTATATTTCATTTCACATTCCGGATCTCCTTTATATTCATGCAACCTTGTAATGAAATTTCTTTTCGAACAACTATAATCATGTAACAAGATTTCGTGATCTTGAATAGAGTTATAATTAATATAACCAAAATTATTTCGTTTTGCTCTTTGATATTTAAAGTATTGATTCCAAAATCTAGAAGTTGCATATAATACACAGACATGAGAGTGAAAATGAATATTATCAACTCGAAGAATTATATCTGCTGTACTTAGGTCATTGAATAACGGTTGAAGAAATGCATGAGAAATCTCCATATTTTTCTCAAAAGGAATAATAATTCGATGTATTCTTATTTATAGAAAAAAAGAACGTATTAAAATTTAACACAGTATTAACGTTAACTTTTTAAGCTGTCATGGTAACTGTCACTGCAAATAAATTCCCATTAAAAATATCTCAGATTTAAAACAACTTTATTCATTGTTTTTATATGCAATTATATATAAGCTATAATATCTATTATCCGGCAGCTTACTATGATAGTGCTTGCCAAATAATATATAGTTATTGCATACGAAGTATGCAATAACTGCTGTATTTTATGGACGATGATGATTGGTTGGTAAC